AGTGTAGCCATTGTACTGACTAATAACGCAAGTACTTTTTATTATTGCATTGAAGCAATAAATGTAGATGTTTATCTTTTCAATGTGTTGTACGCTCAGCATATGCAGAAACAAACGGGGGTAGGTTAAGTGTCTCGGTTTGCCGTGCAAGAAATCGGGAAGCGTCTCGCTTTGGCTCACCAATACTCTGGCCACCTTACATGCACCGTACCTAACACGTGCGTCGCCACCGCTGAATCGCACAGTAGAGCATTATACTTAGACGTCGCCGTGACATGTGCCCCAGGTGTTCTAGCAGCGTTGTGTGCAGTTCGCTCGCGGTATCTCCTGTACACACATATTCACAGTTATTGTGAATACATTTGTGAACACAGTTAGTCATCTTATCTACGAGGTGTGTCTTTCAGATACACCATTGTTGAACAGATCCCGAATGTTATTCCTTGGTTAGTGCCGTCGGAAAGGAAAAGGAAGTTCCTTCTACCTATAATATTCTTATCGTCCCAATCCATTCCGCCGTATATTTTCAATGTGGTTTTAGCATATTGTGAAACGTGTGTTTCACTACCGGTTTCGGGTGTCCACTATTCAGCAATTACCTTACTGTCTACTTGCAAGCGGCGTTCCCAACTTCCTTCTCTGTGCACATGGCCTTATTACTGTGAAACACAGAGACCGGAATTGCAGTGCTGTGTCCCATCTGTATTCGTCGGTTGACGAAATATCGGTTCGGAAACTAATCATTCTTGCAAACAGAGCAGTCAAGGAACGACGATGTGCTACACTATGGTGGGCGATTTCGGATTCCCCACAAACGAGCTTCTCTTATCCACTTTTGTGTTCAAAATGTGCCATCCACTTGATACCAACAACTTTTGGCCATTTACTGGAGTTTGCCAGTACTATGTACAAAATAGTGGACATTGACGATCTAATGATAACATCATGTTCTTGAGTGCCTACTTCGGACTGAAACCCGAGCTAGAACAATATACGGCGCAATGTCTTACTCTCGGTTGTTTCAACCAACTTACTTTTCGGTCACTCCCTAGGTTAATCTCTTCAGTCAAACAGCGTTTCACCATACCCAGTGCGTCGCATTTCGGAACCTTGGTGAGGAGTGCGCTAACCTTAACATAAATCATCGTTTCATCTTCGTTTCCCACGAACTCATGACGGTTCTTTACAAACGTATTCCTTCACCCTGTCAACGGCTGCAATATATTAACGATTGCATACAGACCAGTAAGTGCAAACTTTTGCCAACCCGGTAACCTTATCACAATTAACACGGTACCCTTCCGCAAAGCTCGGTGCAGTACATCATGCATTGCTGTGCAGATGCTGAGTAAGTAAAGTAGTTGGCCGCATCCGCTTTCGGATTTGACTGTCACTGTGGCCAGCTACAGGACGCCTGCGCCTACAGAGGGACTATGGGTGGCTTGCGCTGCACCACCCACAGCTCCATCCACACATCCCATATCCAGTGTAAACCCGAAGGAATAAGACCGGGAGGCATGTGGACGAGAGCCACGTTCCATCAACGGAGCCGGCCCACATTCCTTTACAGGCAAACACAAGCACGCTGTATTTGGGGAATCAAGCGCACACAAGACGGTGGCTGGACCGTAGTCCGCTCTAAACTGAGTGCATGGAACTGCTCTTCGAGCCTAGCATGGCCACAAGGACCGTGCACCCCATCCCCTCCAGCAACGACCAACTGTCTCCTGGAACCAGTATGGACGATTTAGTGGGTAGTAGACAGGTAGGCACCTTGTCAACATGCACATCAAGCGCAGCCACACCAGGGATATCAAGCAACAGCCAATCACCTGGAACGACAAGATGAAATAAAACAAATCCGATAATGCATACAGATACGGTGGCATAACTCTAAGCTAAATAAGCATATGAAGTAAGTTGGTTAGTAACGAATCCGCGATAAGGAAAAAATGTCCACAAGTTAGTTAAAATGCTACAAAACGCAACAAAGTTACCGAAGATAAGCGCAATTAATGTAAGCAACGTGGCCAGTTAATAGAAGAGTGTTCAGGTAGGCAGAACAAACCACATAAAGTGGAATGAAATTTAGCCAGCTTAAAAAGACCTAGTTTAAGTGTAAGTTGGTGTAGCCCAACTGCGGTGAAGAAGCATCAAGTCTGCAACATCAGCCTCAGCATATATATATATATATATATATATATATATATATAGTGCCGTTCAAGCACACGGCAGAGAGGAACATGGTTATCGGTGCATTCTTCTACCGGGGGGGGGCAAGCCTGCCTAACCTTCGCTGATTCGCGTCTTATGAAAATCAATAAGCGGCTATGGCATGGTGCAGTGAGTAAATTGAAATCAGTTGGGTTGATGGATTTCACGGAGTCTTCTGGATCTTTCTAAATGATGGTGTTCAAGCACCTGACAGAAAGTACTTTGTGACAAATAGTATAGAAGACGACGACTAAAAAGCCACTAGCGAGTCGCCGCTGCCCTTCAGCAACGAAGGTGGAAGGTCGTCTGGGCCACTTGCCTTATACCATTTCGGAAGTAGCAGTTCATGTCGGATCTCACGAATGATGAGGCTACGTAAGTCGACCTACAAAAATGCTCCAGGCGACCCAACTAACAATTTAAACACACCAAACTGGTTGAAAGGCTTTTCAAAGTGCACGGTGTTGTGCTCAAGCAGACGTAATTGAAGGTCAATGGGCCGCCAGTCTCCTTCAACTATTATTTTACACACCATAGCCTTTCTTGATCCCGTGAGTCGAATACACTGGAACAAACATCCTGGTGTTTCCGACGGCGCTGGAGTTGGCCAAATCATGAGCCCTCACGATGCACCACTGTTCTCGGTTAAAGTTGGGAATGCTAATCAAATGACGCTTGATGAAGTTTCAGAAAATTGACAGTGCTTCTTGTGTTACGTAGGGAAGGTGATTCTAGTTGGCATTCGGTTCGCTCATCTCGGTTGATAGTGACATCCGGTGTTGCGGTCCAGAGTGATAAAGGCTTTTTCTCAGAATATGAAGATAGTTGACGAGAGAGTGCCCTCGAAGTTGAACAAATGTACGGATTACGAAGCATCAGCATTATGTGAATAGGCGCAAAAGCGTAGTAGGAATCGAGGCAAGTGATGCGAATCGTTTGACAATCTTGCATTGATGTGGTTAATCTATAGTTGATACCGGTGTGGTCAGTCCTGGTAAAGGACAATTGTCGTTATATGGTCGAAATGTGACACGGCGTGATCGGTTGCTAGTACCATAGAGCTGGAGGAAGTGACCGCTATCGTTAGCAGAACAAGCATCGATTCTTAGATGGCCTCCGAGGCGATGCGATGATAACCGACTTGAGCATTCCAATCAATCACAACGAACACGATGTCGGTTCATTCGGCAATCCGGGTGTGGCGGAATAACTGCTTGGTCACTGATGCATTTAAGGCTACAGCTTTCGGGGGTGTAGACTAGAACAACAAAAAATGTACTTTGTCTTAGGCCATTGCCTGTGGCTCTGATGAACCCTAGAAATAGAATAGCAGAACAGGAAGGTCCGCATGGCGGCCCTCAGAAATTCAAGCACGTAGAGCACGGCAGAATGTCACCGGGCCAGATGACGCTGCAACCAGTCTGAGGTTACCACAGTTTTGATTAAAAACATGGGCAATGCACATGGAAAAATTGTATGGAAAGGTCGGAGGCCGTGAAACGTCACCTACGTCTGGTGGATGCACCGAGTGAGTACGGTGGTTTCATGTGAAGTAGCTGTTGTGCAGACGGAAAGTGACGCGCAGTCTCGATCTGGACCGCGAGACTACAATCTCTATCTGAAGAACGCAAAATAATACGAAACAAACGGTGCGGCGCAGTGTTGCGAACGGAAAACTCTAACATCGACCAAATGAGCACTTGCGAAGCCCGTTCGTTGGAGTTCGAATTTAGACTAATGTACATTCCACTGGGTCAGCTATAGTAATTTAACTGCCTAGGAAGGCTGCGAGACGCATGCCGCAGGATATCTGTCGATCACCTAAGTAAGCGTGTATTGCACTTATCTGATGCGCCTGTTTGGATAGGGCGCCTGCACAGCCAACTAATGAAAAAGTGAGAGGGCGTATAAAAAATAAGATAGTTTGTCTGCCGTCTTTGCGGATGCGGTCTATGGCATAGGCCACACGGGGTTAGGGACCTTATCCGAAGTGATATAATCATGGAACTTTTAGTGTTCAATTCGAGAACTTTGATCTCTTTCCAACTCGTTTTGATTAAACTTCTCGCTTCCTTTACGATTTTTATTCTTTTCGCTGTTAGTGCTTGCTTCTATGGTGGTGATGCCGGCGCTAGAGACCAGATCAGTTGCACTTCAGTGATTGGATTAGTGATGGAATACTGGGCTGTTAAGAAAGGAGACATCAAACGAAACTCGACAGTTCAGTAAAAGCAACGGCCTACTGGCCCGCCGAACAACTTCCCGTGGTGCCAGCTGGGTGGCACGGATTAATCCTGTTAAAGCGAATGGTTCGGCCGCAGTGTTTCAGGACGAAGTGAGTTTCCACTTGGTAAGCGTTCTCCCTATAAAAAGCTACAAACGTCTCCTTAATAACACGGCGACGTGGCGGATATGACACGCCACTAAATAAAGTCACTGCCATGCACACTGCACGGACGCCAGTTATCCAGTACAAAGGTTCCCTTTCACCAGTTGTTAAGCAGACGTCCCGACAAAACACAATCACACCTACGTCCTCATGTCTACAAATTCCAGCAGCACACCTGCAAATATTCAAACCGACATACACACAAATACACATCAGAGATCCAATATACTACTGCTAACCCTGCAACATTATTGTACACTTGTCATTCGTATTGGTATTGCTATGACCACGCCTATTCAGGCGTGCCCCACTATGTCGGGAAATATACTATCTATTTATTTAGTTACAAGTCGAGGAAAAGGTAACATGATATAAATGTGCATCCGGAGGAACCAACCTACAAACAAGCACGTTTCCAGCATTCGAACGGGTTGAATGGATGAAGTCGTTGACGTCGGAAACACATCGGAAGAGACTGTAATCATCGTGTTCAGAGATGATAACGTGTAGATATTGCACGCTTGGAGACTGGGGAGAAGAATATTGAAGAACAGAAGTAGAATTAGTTCGGATAGAAGGAGGCCGTACGTAACATATACCACAAAACAGTGAACTGAGCTATCCGTCAAAGTGACCGTGGTAAATCAAAGCTCATTTGATGATTTCGGATAAAGGAATGTTAAATGAGTAGTATTGCGAATCGGTAACGTAATGGGAAGGTTAAAACTTGTGTGTAAAAAATATCGTCCCGGAACTCAGGGTGATAACTGATGATTCAGCGGATTACAGCTCAAATCAACAAACGAAGAAGGGATTGCTTCCGATTATAAGAGGGGAAATGGTACAACTTAGTTGAGTCAAAAACCTGTGTGATTCAGGAAAAACGGTGTTGCTTTGCGTACCAAATAGTATGGAGACAGACATTAGATGACTAGTTGGATTAGTTACACAATAGGTGTGCCAACGAATTTTGTGCTTGGTCAAATCCCATAATCTTCGATTGGTGTATGCAACCAGTGGACTTCAAGCTAGAGAACAGGAGAGCTCTGTTAAGATCAAAACAGGAGTTACTGTGCTGCTGTTTCGAACCAAGCTCATTCATCAATAACCTTACTGTCTGCATGATTGAATGTCAGAAAGTGCTGAGAAAAACGTTAGGGTAATCTGGCGGTCCGAATCACCTAAGCCGGCTGGAGAAGCATTCTCGGTCGGAAGTCTGTTCGAATTGTGAACGCAGCGGAAAACAGCCATTGAGACAATGTGGCTGCTATCAGGCTGCAGTAGAGCATAGAACGCCGCGGCACCTAGGTAAAATGCATGCGAACAAATCATGTTTCGTGATCACACGTTAAAGCGGTACGGAACCAGGGTTGTCAACCTGAAGTACGTGCCAGCTGTAGACCGTAACGGCGCTTCACTGCCGCGCGGCCACCACCAGTCGCGCGCAGACTGTGTATACCGCGAGGACGAGGAACGATATTGCCCCTACGCCATACGTGGTGAAAAGGGAATGAAGTATACGGGCGTAGAACAGGCTTAAGGAAACCCTATTCGACAAGCTATTAGCACTGATGTGGCTCTTAAATTGAACATCCGATAAAAGATTGTGCATGTCGGATAGAAAGTCAGGCAAAACACGTGAATAGCGCCGGCAAATTACGCTCCTTGATCCGCAGACGTTCCAACACTAGCGGAATCTCAGAGTTTCGTTTTCGAAGCCCCAGAAACCAACTGGCCCAAATTGAGTCCCTCCGGTTCTTCCCAATGGTGGACCTCGTCCTTCATCAATTGATCGATTTTCGCCAAAAGTTCTGAACCACTAAAGTAACTTTGTTTGAACAGGGGTAAGTGGATTTAGTGCTCATTTTCAGAATGACTATCAGAACCCACTGTGTTAGCGACCACATTTGTGCCGTGCCCTACATCGGGTAGCTGAACTGCACATAAGTAAACGGCGAGTTAAAGAAAGCTAGAAATAGGACTGCTACTGATGCTGCAACTCTATAAGTGAAGAACTAGGGGCAGCGATCAACCGGAGCGCGGGACAGCAAGTCTCATCTTCCAAATAGCAACGCACTCGTGCCGAAGATTTCACGAAAACTGGATGAGATGAATCCAGTGGACACTATAATGATGGTGATGATGTGTCAGCTGTACGCCTTCATGGCGCTTTCTTGCCGCGCGACCACCATCAGTCGCGCGTGGGCTGAGTATACCGCGAAGACGCCCACCCCTACGCGGATCCGAATCGGTGACCCTCTGGTTACAAAGCAGGCGCGCAGAACACTCGGCCACTGGTCGAAATTAATGAAGATCAAAAACATTGAACAAGAAAAATTAGGAATTTCGATGCGATAACGTGCGAGTTATTTTGATTGTCTCCCGGCAGCTGCATGCAGATGTAGATGAAAGAAAACTGAGTCATTCGAGTTGAAGGAGGGGTCAAATAAGGGATATCAGAGGAGGCCTCGGGCAGCGAAATTAACAGCTGACCGGTGGATGGGCAATTACAGAATTATGGGGATAGGATGACATAGCAAAAGCTATTAGTGATAGTCATTTCGACCATTGGTAAGTCACGCGAAAGGTTATCTGCAGTCATGCAGCGCACTCGCCTTCCATACGCTGACATAGGAGCAGGAATATAAGTATCGAGAAGCTGAGTTGGGTCGATGCTTGTCTTTCAGAATAAAATCCTCGCGTAGAGTTGCATAAATGGTTAGGCATCATATCGGATATGGTGCAGTCATGAGGTTAACGGTGCTCTTGCACTGGTTCCTTCAGTTCTGACCCAAGACCTTCCCAAGTGATGATTTATACGCTTGTTCATTCCTCTTGATTGGTCAGTATTTTTGTTCATATTATGATGACTATGGTGATGTGGACCTAAGTAACTGGAGATGACTCAATGGCTTAGGGGTAGCGGTCACAACTAACACACCGATGGTCCCGAGTTCGATGCGTATTATCTCAACAACAACAACAACAACAAAAGTACATCAGCCATTTGAACTGATGCCTCGCCGTCATACAACCATGATGACCTATGAAATAAAGAATAACAACAGAGAGAGAAGGGGGCTTAGCTGAAAACCTTAATGCCCTAAGCAAACAGTCAGGGTCAAGGCGCCTAGCCCTTGCGTAAACAACATACCGTCACAAACAGCTAAATATTGTGCAAAGATAAGCCGGTATCAGCGAGACATCTTCCTTGCGGCTTTCACTGCCCCGCACCATAATCTGCCATTACCCCGCACATAACTCAGCACCAAACACACTTTAAACAGGCAATCCGATTAGACGGCAACAGACGCGCCACTGGTGTCGGTTGTGAGCCATGTTTTGTAGTCTTGAGCCAAGCACAAGGCGAGTCATGTGGACTCCAGCGCGGGCCAAAGGCACCCAGTTTGATCGTTAGTGACTTCATTTTACGCTGCTAAGCCAATTTCTGTCCACATCGATCCCTGCGCCACCCTACACCTGGCAGACTAAACAAGGCTCGTAGTCAGTCCGTTCGGAGTTAAGCCCCTAAGTACCATCCAGCTGAGCTTCTGAAGAGCTCAGACGCCCTACTTGTGCGTTCATATCCTCTGTATGTATTATGTTTGCTGAACTAGTAGCACTGCGTAGTAGCGCGTTCAGTTTGTGATAGAATGTGTCCTTAACAGTATTAGAACTGCAGTCGGTGGGAGCATAAGCGGAAATAACAAACAGCGTTTTGTACCAGTTCGTGAAGCAACCCTAGTTGATGTCGTCAAACGGGCTGCACATCGGAATCCAATCAACCAACGATGGCTTAGCCTTGGAGCTTAGAATGATACCTACACCAGCTTGCCCTGTGAATGCTGCATCGGCGTCTCCGGATGCATGCAACTAATAACAAAAGGACAAGCCAGGCGCAGTTAATTCAACATGCCCATTAGGGTCATTGATCCTAGTTTCGGACATACACATCAATACCCAGTGTTGCCTATAGAATTGAAGACTGGTAACTCAGGTTGTTCAGACTGCGGCTGAACTGTTTGCCGAGCTTGGCAATTTGTTGCAAACTTTTCGTCACCAATCGAGATGACATCATCAGTGCGTAGTTGAGCAGCGTGCGGTAGCGTAGAGGAGCCTCGATGAGAGTGCGCTGAGCGTGGTGTGCGTGCGTTTTTATACCGCAGTAGTTGTTCGTGGAGACGAGCAATCCTATTGGTTGGGAGTTCGATCCGCGTTCAGCTTGGATGATGGGCAGATTACCTCTGACCTTGACCCCTTGTGCCTCATGACCTTTGTCTGCTTGCTCTTGTGAGCGAGTCTGTCGTCAGTTCTGATTGTCTAGTCACACGTTCCACCGGATTCAATCGATCGTGTTGGCGGTCGTTCGCCAGTAAGGTTGCGTATACTGCGTCCAGTCCGATGTGTCGATTGATTGAATACGTTGTAGAGTACCAGGCTTCCAAAAACTCCCTCGCGTGTTTTGTACTTCCAGGTGCTAGGATCTTTATATTCCTCAGATCGAAATGGTGGCCTTCTTGATCTTCATGCGCAGAAACCAATGAGTGCGGATCGTGTCTTCTGACGGCCGCCTTGTGTTCGGTGATTCGTGTACAAAGCTTTCTTAAGTTCGTCCGACGTAGTTTTTGTCGCAGTCACTGCATTTTACCTGGTAGATGACACTGCATTGATCGGCTTGATTGACTTTTTCTTTGAGTCTTGTGATCAATTGACTAAGGGTGGCACTTGGTTCGTAAGCCACAGAGATTGCATGTGACTGAAGCAATAGTCCTGTTAGCTCAGAGATGTTCTTGATGTAGGGAAGCATTATCCGTTTATTTGCTTGCTCAGGTGACTGTTGCTACTGCTACTGCTGAAACGTTCGTTTCTTTAAGCTTCTTCTGATGAAATTTCTCGGATAACCGTTGTCTCTAAACACTCGATATAGGTGATTTTCTGCCTGTTTCCGCGATTCGGCTGTGCTGCAGTGCGTTTCCGCTCTTTTGTACAGGCTTTGAATGCAGCTCTTTTTGTGATTCATCGGGTGGTTGCTGTGGTAGTTTAATAGCTGGTCTGTATGCGTGTTCTTCCGATATATGCATGTGCAAACGTGTGTACATCGCACGCATACGCTTGTTGCGAGAGAAAAATGGACGAGATCATTGGACGCGGGTAATCGTCTGGATGTCATTTTGTCGAATTTAGCAGGGCATTTGACAAAGTTCCTCATGGACGTCTCCTTCTCAAACTCCGGTGAATTGGCGTTTGTGGGAAGATTCTTTCCTGGGTCGTTGACTTCCCGAATGGCCGAAGCATGCAGATTAAAGCAAACAATACCTAATCCAATCTTGTTTTTGTGATTAGCGGGGTCCCACATGGCTCTGTCCTTAGTCTTGAGCTCTTCAAAATATACATCGACCTTCCCTCTGAGCTCCAAACTGATTGCCTCATGTATGCTGATGATCTGTGGCTAGAGGTGTTCCACCTCGATGATGCTGACTTGCTACAAAAAAACGCTGGACCAGTTGGACTGCTGGTTCATGGAGTGGCAGCTACCCACTAACCATGTTGTGTTCTGTCCTCCCAATTGGTGCCCCGGACCCCTTTGGTGTTTGTCCTATTGGGGGAGTTCTTGTCTCGCCAAACCCACGCACGACTCAAGACACCCTAGAGGAAGTTGCCGCTTCTAATAAGATGTTCTATTCCATAAGCAGGTCCTTTTCCCAGATGACTACGGAGACATTCCGGCTTCTCTTTAGCTCTCATGTTCGACCAATTCTTGAGTACTGATTGCCAGCATCCTATCTTCTCACGAAAGGTGAACGGGCACTGATAGAGAAGGTTCAGCGGCGGGGATCAAAATCCGTCATGACACGCCGGAACCTGTCTTACTCTCATCGCCTTCAAAAGATGAACTTGTTCCTGGAGTATCGTCGTCGCCGTGGTGACTTGATTCACACATGATGTATTCTCCGAGGTGAGATAGGGAATGAGATACAAGAGTTATTTCGTCTTTGTGCGGATACTTCGACACGATGCCACGGTATGAAGCTGTTTGAACCTAGGAGAATTCGGGTTCGATCTGATGTCATTTTGTCAACTCGTGTGGTGAATGACTGGAACAGTTTACTTGAGCTAGTCATCAGTGCGCAAACAGCGAAATGTTTCAAACGGTTACCAGACATCCATTTGCGGGACAAGGATGGATCTTGCTGTGTTGACCGTGACCGTAATGCTCCATTGTGGAACAATGTGCGGCATCAACTCACATGATCCCTACAGTGAGCGGGAAGTGATGAGGCTGACAAAGGATTTTCTTTTCTGCTCTCTACAAACCAATGAACCAGTGGCGCCGCCGGGGCATGGAGCAAAGTTGACGAAAAACAAAACTTTCCCTGCTCTCGTCAAATGTTCTTACCATATTGATGCGAGTTGTGAAAACACAGGATCCAATGCCGTCGGAGAGTGATTGTTCAACCAAAGTGTACTGAGGCGAAACAATTGCAACAACGCCAAACAAACGATAGAGATGGGAGGCAGAAAATAGCCTCTCTCCAGAAGATGAAGCAGTGAATACGGGGCTAACACATCGATGGGGATTGTGGGAGGATAGACATTGTATTATATTATTATATATATAATATATTATAATATATATATATATAATTAAAGTAGCAAAGGGATGAAGCAATTACCTTCTCAATCTCCGATTTTGCATTTTGCACAAGCGCTATGTGGGAAATTCCATTTGCTATCAACTCCTCTTCATTCTTCGCGTTGTCCAAGCTACCAACATAGAGACCAGGCAGAACCTTGGTCATAGCACCTCCCATAACAGGAAGGGAATTGCTACGGTTAGCTGAAAGGTGAACAGTAAAGATGAGTAACGAGTACATAAAAAGCTTTGGAATCCGAGTGTGCAGCAAAGCATAGAATACGCTGCACATTACTTCGGACAAAGAGTAAAGACAGTGAAATGGTTCACAAATAAGACACCGTAGCGAACCGGAATAGGACCAGGAAAACAAGACGTGGGCCAAATGACACCAGCAACCATCCGAACCGAAGAGACAAGTAGTACAAACGTAAGGGACATGGGGAGTGGTTGTTTACTGGCTGTGATCAGGAAGAAGATGGGGGAGTTATAGTAGCACAATGAAAGTAACAAGTAATGGTGCCAAAAGGAGGCAGGAAGCCTGAAGAGCCTGAAAATAAAGGCAAGTGGATTAAAGGGAAAACAGATAAAAGAGTGGGTACAAGGAAGTGTCATCTGCACAACGGTCGAATTGAGCCAGATAATATCCATCTGGGGAACTGCATTCGGGAAGGAACATGCGACGAAATGTCCGTGTGAGCAGCCGTGGTCGCTACCATGACACACTGATGGCGGCTCATTGATGTGTAAAACACGCGATGGACTTAAGTGGTGCATGCATTTATGAAAGGGATTCGTTGACAAAAAACCAATTAGTGGGCAAACGCATCAAATTCAGAGGCTGATAGCCATCATGACCCATCATGAATCTAGTAGGCCGATCGACAAATTGGTGCAGGGAAGCATGCAGGGCCAGCTCGAGAAGCTCGGTAGCCAAACATCTTGTAATAGCGTCGCAGGAAAAATGTTGCCAGTCAACGTCGGGAAGATTAAAGTCCCCCTCACTAAACACTTATTTGCCGAATGTTCGCGGATGAAATCAACAAGCCCCTTAGCAACGCTGCCGGGACTTCTACAGACCCGCACAACTTTAAGTTGCGCGGAGGCAATACACAGGTTAACTGCATGTGCCTCAACATCACCCTCTGGTGATCTGAAACTATACGTCTTAAAGACAGTAAGTGCGGAGTTAACGTACAAAGCAACGCCAACTCCGCGCCGACCAGAGGTGCGGTCACATCTCAGCAGTGCGTAGCCTGGCAAGCACACTTCACTGTCCGTGACGTCGGTGGACAACCACGTTCCAGTGAATGCGAAAACATCTGAACGGCAGCCGTCAACAAGGGCGCCGACTTCGCACAGCTTGTTTCGCAGGCTATGCACATTGCTTAAGATCACCTGAAGGGATTTAACATTGTGAGTCCGGGATCGTGCGCCACCAGAACCGGCTCTGGTAGGGCGGAAGTGGACCGCCGGCTCACCACCCGAAAACCCGCCAAGTGGAGACCCTTTTCTTCTGCTTCACGGCGGGCTTTAATCACTTTCACAGCTTCCCGCAATTTCAGCCTACCCGCCAAATGGAGGTTTGGGTGCACAAGGACACCAGTGCCGTTGAGCTTAAAGGCGAAACGCAGAAGTGCTTGGCGCTCCTTCTGAGTGGACAGAACAACTCGTAACAAGCGTGGGCGAGACTTATCAGCTGGCAATTTACCCAGTCTGGTTAGTTTGCGCATAGTCACGCCGGGAGGCAGGAGTTTGGTAAGGGATATTCTAAAATACACTGCACAACCAGGACGCGTTTCAATGTAAGTTCATCTCATCAGGTGGAGACAGCAGGCCTCGATCCCGCGATCATTGGAATAGTAGCCGAATCCTCTACCCCTTTGGCTACCGAGTTCGGGGCCCAATACAGAACGTTGGGCGACCTCACGGGTCATGAAAACTTGAACAGAAAGCGCTTCCTTCGCTCTAACCTGCATGGAGCGACCGTCCAGGAAATCGGTGACCCAAGAAAGGAAATTGTCAGTGACACCGATTCCGTGGAGCTTAAATAGGGGCGGCTCATGCGAGAACTTGTCAAACGCCCTACTGTAATCAACAAATACAGCATCGAGGCGCTTACCAGCATCTAATGATCGTGCCCATCTTTTCCTATCCACCAGAAAATTTGTGGTGCATGAACGCGGCACGAGAGATGAACTTCAACTCCTCGAGATGAAGACGAAGGGTCCGTTTCAGTATCCGTTCCATGATTGTGCACAAAATCGAAGTCAGGCAGATGGGACGGTAGCAGGGTGGATCCTGTCCGTTCCATCCTTTGTAAATACGTTCAGCGATTCCTACCTTCCAGGCGTTCAGAAGCCGCCCGACCACAAAGGAACGACAGATGACAGACGATCGGCAATGTGCCCAGCCACTGCCTTGAAGAATTATGGGTGTAAACCATCAGGACCAAGCGAGGAATACGGGTCCAGGACAAGAAAACGTCTCATTACGTCAGTGCCAACATCCACGTGCTCCAACAGAGAAGGAGGAGTGGGCGCAACGCTATCCGTGAGTGGCGTCTCGGTCGAGTAGACTGTAATGACCTGCAGATTCAGGTCAGGTCAGGTCAAACGGACGATAGAGGCTTCCGCCTAACGAGCGTCCAGTTCTTGTGCCGGTAAGTGAAGCGGCCCCCGGCACTTGACGTTGGATTGTCTCTTCTTGCTGCTGCAAAGGAATGAAGCAGGAACAAGAGCAATCTTTGCACTTCCATATGTCAGCATCAAAATACACTACATATTCCAGTACAACTACACTGTCTCTGGAAAAAGGATAGACCAACAATCATCTAAGCCCCTTTTGAAGGCTTCTACAGTCTCAGACTCCACTAAATCAGAAGGAAGCTTATTCCAGAAGTTAACTACTCGGTTCGTAAAAAACTTCGCCCTGATGTCTAAACGAGCTCTATGATGTTTGTGCTTCAGGCGACGCCCATGCAGATGGTCTGACATAGCCAACTCAAACAGATGGATGGGACTAATACCACTAAGTCCCTTAGTGATCTTAAACGTCTCTATCAAAACCCTCTCAATCTACGCCGTTCCAAGATAATAATCCCAAGCTACTTAGACGATCTTCGTACGACTTCCCTCGTTGACATTCGATCATCCTGGTCGCAAGTTTCTGAATCTTTTCCATACAAATGACGTCACTCCGGAGGTACGGTGCCCAGGCCTGAACACAATACTCCAGATGTGGCTTAACCACTGCTTTATATAACGGCAAGAATACTTCTGCTTTAGTGTTACCTAGCGTCCTCCTTAGACGAAATAACTCTTGTCGCGCTTTATTGGCAGCATGGCGACACTGTGCCGAAGGCTTAAAATTGTTCGCTACGATGACACCTAGATCGCGGGCTTCATCAGTACACCGCAATGATAGAGATCCTGCATAGAGTTCATGGAGTTGTCGAGAGCAGAAGGGAAGACCAGTGTCAGCTCCAGCACCTCCCGTTCATTGGCTGGATGACCTGTCGATGCTAAACTGTGTTCCCCGAGGGATTGTTGTAGCTGCAGCAAAAACAGCGGAATCCAGGCATGTTCAGCATGTACTTGTCCAATCGTTCTTTAAAACATTCCTCTGTCTGGGCACTTACCACACATTCAGGAAGATTGTTCCACTCATTCACAACCCGTGTGGATAACGCGATATCGGACCGGATATGGTTCCGCCGAAGTTTAAAAGGTTTCAAGCTGTGGCCCCGTGTTGAACAATCTGTGTTGAGCTGGAAGAACTGCAGCACCTCCTTCCCCAAATCGCCCCTTAAAATGCGTCTAGTATAAATCAGATCACCACGGCGACGACGGTAGTCCAGAGTAAATAAGTTCATACATTGGAGACGAAGGGAATAAGGTAAAACACGTAGCATAGACACAGACTTGGATCCGCGTCTCTGAACCTTCTCAATCAACTCACATCCAAATTTCGTGAGTGGGTGTATGGCAGGTAGGCCGTATTCCAGTATTGGACGAACGTGGGAGGAAAACAGGAGCCTGAAGTTCTGCGGAGTCAATTTGTAGAACGATCTTCGTCTGGCACAGAGCATCCTGGTGGCAGATGCTACCTTCCGCAACGTGTCTTGGGTTGTTCTTAGGTCTGGAGAAATAAGTACAACCAAATTTTTCTCACCAACCACATTCTTCAACAGAAAACTACCGATGTGGTAAGCACCGAAAGGTTCCTGATCACCGATCGGTAGAACACAGCACTTATCACGATTGATAGGCATTTGCCACTTGACCGACCAATCGTGCAGCAAATCGAGCGTCAGCTGCAACCTGTCAGCATCTTCAAGCCTGGATACTTCCGACCAAAGTTTAAGATCATCAGCATAGATCAAGCAGTCGATTTGGAGCACCTCCGGGAGATTGTTGATAATGATTTTGAATAGTTTGGGACCAAGAACGGAGCCTTGTGGAACCCCACTGGTCAAAAGAACAGGACCAGAGTCAACTTCGTTAACCCTCACCTTCATACTAGGATTATCTAGGAAATCTGCGATCCAGTCGAGCAATTTACCAGCGATGCCAATGTGCCGAAGTTTGATAAAAAGTCGCTTGTGTGGAACCCTATCAAACGCCTTGCTAAAATCCACAAAAACTACAAGGCCATGACCAGCATCCACTGACTGCGCCCATTGTTCTCGGGCAACAAGCAGATTGGTAATGCAACAGCGTGCCATCCGATATCCTTGCTGAGCAGGAGAGATAACGTCCAATTTCTCAGGATGAAGATGCAAGGCCTGTTTCAAGTTCAAGCGGGACTGGAACGATAGGATTATCCCGTGAGTGTTCCTTCTTCGGCGGGTCGTTGAACCAGGAGTTGGCGGACTTTGAAATACTGATGGACCTAAAACAAAGACCGCATCACACCCAGTCCAACCAATTAATGCCCACGTATCCTGCCTTAGCAGTCCCTGCTGGGCCGGTTACGTGAAGTAAGAAAGAGAAAAAGGTAAACTCAGAAGGCAAAAGAGAAAGTGGAAAGAGTTAAGCAAGTGGAATACCAAGATATATGCGCCATTAAAAAGAACTGAAAAGCGAAGGTGAGTCAGCTAGGAAAAAGGAAAGATTTGCTGTTGCCACCCAAGAGCATCGAGCTGGCGCGCAAAACCCTTAACCGTAGGTTCCCTAACCACATGATCTGGAAGCGAATTCCAGT